CTTTACAATAATATATGTGGTAGTTAAGTTTGTATGTCAACTTGGCTGGGCCTGGTTGAGTGGCTAGGCAGCTGGATATAGTTATTCTCCGCGGTGAGACTGGTAATTAACTCCATGGTGGAATCCAGTGGAGCAGCTGAGTTGCTGCTTTAGGGATGTGGGCTATTTCCAGTTTATAAGAAGCAACTTTGAGGCAAGTCTCCAGCTGGTGGCATGCTTGAACCCTGTATGTAGCCAAGTCTTCATTCAGTAACCTGCCATGCTCTGCCAATCTTGGGACTTCTAATGGATTTGAATCAATGGCCTGCCGTGCGGTTTGGTGTTAGTGGTACTGTGCATTTTCACTCGTCGAACTTGGGTTTGTCAGACTCATCAGCCAGCAGCTGCCTGAGTGAAGAGATGCCTCCAGCTTAAGTAGGCCTAGAGCAAGAGGCAGAGCTGAAGCCCAAGGTGGAGGGTCTTTCACCCAGTCCCTAGAGCCTGGTACTTTGAAATTGGACTTCTAGCCTCCCAAACTCTAAGAGAATAAACTCCTGCTCGTTCAAGCCATTTCCCATTTGTGGTATATTCCTGTCAGAATATTGGTAACCACCACAATACATAAGTGAAGGAACTGATTTTAGTTTCAAATCTGATGGGAATAAGAAAGATCTTTGGTTACTATTTTTGATCTGTTATTAAAGAAATAAGAAATCAGTCACTTCACAGACAATGGCTATTATATATTTTTCTCCTTGGAATTGAAACAAAATATAAATAATAAAGGCCATTATTCTCTTCAGGTCCTTGTGCTCTTGGCATCTCAACCTTCTTAACAGTTACCTGGGCTTATTAGCCCTTTCCATAACTCCCTGAATTTGCACTTTCTATTCTCACTTGCCATGACCAACTCCTATCCATTCTTCAAGACCCAATTCAAATGTAATGCCTATAATGAAAATTTTCCAACCATCTCTGAGTTACCTAAATTGTTTACTGTGCTCCCAATACCACTATGGCACTCTGTTTTCCAACACTTATGCTGTAATTTATTACTTTTTGCATTTGCTTCCCTCAGGGTTGCAAAGGATTTTTATATTTCTACCACCTAGCACATACAACCTCCTGGAGGGTGTGTCATAAATATTTGTAAAATCAAATAAAACTTACTAGCAAGGCAGTGTCTTACACTGATGGTTTCAAAAATGAGAAGCTCAAGAAGACTTGAGACTGTCTTATTCAGAAAAGATTTACAAAGGGAAGGTACAACTTCAAATTTTGTAATAATGATGTACTAGCAAGATGGAGGGAGCTCTGGCGGCATAGTGCCAAAGGCATTTGACTGCTGACCAGGCGGCTAGCGGTTCAAATCCACCAACCACTCCTCGGAAGGAAGGCTGGGCAATCTACTTCCGTAGTCATATTGCCTCAGAAACCCAAGGAAGGGTCACTATGAGTCAGATCTGACTCCGTGGCAATGAGTTAGGAAGATGGGAAATTCTAAGCTCCACCTTTAGGTTTACTAATTCTTTCAGCAAATGTTTTTCCTGAGGTATTCTAAACAATTAAACTATAGCTACTATATTTAAACTTTTTAGTTAAAAACTATTTTTTATTCTATCAGATACTATATGCTAATGGCAGGAGAACGGAAAACAAATGGAAAAAGCAGAATTGAACAGTGGCAAAATATCAATTAATTTATAATATAAACTAAATTAAAAAATAAAGACATGGTTAAATTAAATGAATGAAGTAAATAATTAGAGATAGCCTAAAGTATTGTTTTTTAAGTTTTTAAAAAACTTTGACAAATAGATTTTAAACTATAATCCAATACATACATATATATTATATATAACTGGAAATAATACTCACCCTTACTAGATATATTCTTTTCTTTTTTCATTGAAAAGAAAAATAAACCAAAAAAAAAAAAAAAACCACTGGTCAAGACCCAATAAAATGATTTCATAACTCTATTACTGGTTTAAGATTTAAAGTTTGATAAACACTGTCCTAACACTAACAACCACAACCCTTCAAAAAATCTGTATATAAAGTTTACAACGAAATACAAATTATATCCTATATCCTTAAAAGAATGTGGTAATTTTTGCTATCCTTTAGTTAGGAAGAGTGAAATGGAATGCTGATATCTAATAAATGAAGGCTATTATATCTATTAAGACAAATGTCTTAGTTCTGGAGCTTTAAGAGTGACTCAAACACAGTCATGGCTGGGAACTGTTAAAATACAAAGACTTTCATTTTAACTAAGATTATTCTAAAGTTTCCCTTCAACCCTAAAATGACTTAAGTACAGTTCTACTCATTATTGAATTTAGTTATGGAAGTGTGAGATGATATGGATTTAAAAACATTCTTCACAGAGTATCCACCCCACAACTCTCATTTAGGACAAGTCATTTTCTTCCCAATAGATTGTTACCTCTAACGTTGTATTATATAGGTATTTTTCTGGCTGCCACTAAATTCAAGTCACTTTAAAAATGTTAAAAGTTCTTTTCATAGTCAACTATATAAATTCTTAATTAATTTCCTTACATTAACAACTATTGTTGTAACACATTCCATAATAACCTACCATGAGGCAATGAAACGCTTTTTATCATTCATATACATTTCTTACCTTAAATGCCACTGAATCTATATATATATATCATTCTTAATATAAACTATTTTCTAAAAGTAAGTGGCTTAAAGGAAATTTTTCATAAAACTACAGATGACAGTAATCTAAATACAAAAGCATTATCAAAATAAATGTAACATTTACGTATATAAAATAAAACTGCCATTTACTTTTTACAAGATTGCCACAGACACATGAAGTTTTGCCCAGGTTTTCTCATTGGATCTCCATGTTGACTGGATCCATTGAATGGAGAAGGCTGAGAACTGTTAGGATGCCCCTGCACTTGCACAGCTGGTGACGATGTCACAGGAGTGTTCTGTGAAAAAGTATAATGCATGATTTATGAAATGACACTGAAAAACATTATTTTATACTATAGTCTTATAATTTGATTACATTAATAGATGATTTCTAATATGTATGATTTACATTTTGTAAGAATGCTTATTATTTAAGCTAATGATTAACTTTAAAAATTCTTTAAAAAGATAATTCTACAAAGATAATCAGTTAAGTTTGATTGTAATATGAACACAAAGAGGCAAGGAACATTGCTATTACAATTATAAAATATAAATTACTTTTAATTAAGATTTTTTGATATTATTAAAAATAGGTAGGAACAACACAATCAGAGTTTAAATGAGAAATAAATATAAATGTACCCAATTCTTTACATATTTCACTCCAATAAGTTAACTACAAATCAGTATTTCTTTGCGTATTTCCTTATAGATTTTTCAAGGGATATAAAATAAAGAATACGTGGTAAAAAGCAAAGAAAGTTTCAGATGATTGTTAAAAATGAAGCACCTATTAATGAATTATCAGTACAAACTACAACTTAAGTCTTTAAAGTTGCTCAATTACAGGTTTTAATAGATGCTAGTAAAAGGATCCTAATTGTAGGCAAAGTCTTTTAAATAATACATTTTTTTTTTCGTTCTATTCCTCTTTCTCTCTGCAACACACATAAATAAATAATTATAATGTAGCTTTATTTATTTTTTAAAAAACAGGGTCTCCAATTTTGATCTCTTTCCCCATGGTTTGCATTAGTAGCTGGGTACCATTTAGTTCTTCTCGTCTTAGGGTCATATGGGTTGAGGTTCTTAAGGTCCATCAGTCCTTTGGAGAGACCAATAGTTGCCACTTAGATCGGCAACACAAGCTTTTAAGATCCCAGTTACTACTAACTGAAGTAAGATGCAGAACAATACGTTTGTATAACATGCTGTGCCAACTGAGCTTGATTTCCCCCACAGGCTCAGTGACCCACTACTTCAGGTGCTTATTTGTGGGTAAGAAGTTATCCTAACTTAATGTAGTTCTTAATTTTCGACAATATTTTTTCTCAGAAAGCCTTAACTCATATTTTATTCACAACATACTGCAAAGAAAAAAAATCTTCAATTTCTTATATAAATTATAGCACACTATTTTCAAGCAGTGTTTAAAGGAGAGAAATTATACTTACTCATTTATAAGGTAATATTTGAATAGTTGGGAAAAGTCTTAAAAGTGCTGACAACCTCAGATTGAAAGTCATAATTTTTAAGAAAACCAGACAAAACACAAAAACACAAGGCTATAACACATAAATGAAAAAAACTAGAATAAAGTGCTGAAATAAAGTTCTCATCAGAAATGTAAAGTCTTAAGAAATTTTAAGTTCTAAGTTTCTAGGAAAAAGAAAAAGAAAAAAACTTTTGGGATGTGACCTAAATTGAGTTTTTGTCCTTCACATGTCAGTGAAAAAATACATCCATATTTGAAAAGCTAATATATTATTTGAGCAACACGTGTTATAGGCTAGAATGTGGTCTTTCAGGCGGGATAGATCACATACACATTTTTAATCTGCTTTTTCACTAGCTATGTTTCTTGGGTAACCTCATTAACTTCTCTGATCCTGTTTCCTCAGCTATAAAATACAATTAAGAAAATCTCACCTTTAGGGATGGTTGGCAGACTAGAGAAACTACACATAGAGAGTCTACCTCCAGATTCTCAATAAGTGGTAATTTTGATTATTTTTTATTATGCAAATAAAGATTCAGAAGGGAAATCATGTTCTGGAGGCAAGATGATCAGTTCAGTTTGGTGACAGTTATAGACAATGATCAACTAAAAATGTCCATCAATAGAAGTTAGACTGGAAATATATATTTGACAATCATTCACCTACCATAAAAATTCTCATGGTGAGAAAGCAAAATAGTAAAAAAGTAAAAAAAGGTCAAAGAGTAAAGAAGATAAAATCGGAATCAGTATATTTATTAAAAATATTAAATTATTTCCTTAAATTGTAAATATTACACTAAAAATCAAGAAATTTTAATAACTGAGAGTATCTAAGAGGATCAGGTCCAACCAAACAGATATAACGAAGAGAAGCAAGTTACACACATCCTAGAATTTGAATTAAAGAGTAAAATCTGTCAGATTTGCCATTCCTTCAGAATGAACTTCTGGTTCCTTACATTATTACTATTTAAATTACATATTTTATTTACTATCTCGTTAGATACTTATAAATTACACTTTTTTCATTTTTAAAAGTCTTAACAAACCATTATTCTATTTCTTATATATTTTTATCATTTGCATGGTTTTCATTGGTTCCACAGAGAAAACATAATAATAAGGAATCAAAGAATATTTTAATCCCAAATACTAACCAAGGATATAGCAAGGATGACTGCAGTTAATACAAGCTGTTACATTAAGAATGAATAAAAGACATACAAACCAAATGTAATGATTAAAACTTTTATTCTAATTCACAAAAGCTTCTTTAAAAAAATTTAAGGTAACAGGAGAAAACTGAATATGAATTAGGTATCAAGTAATATTAAGAAAACGCATTTGTTAGGTGTCATTTGGTATTTTGAGACTGATTACCTATTTATCTGCCTACCTAAATAGCTACCTATCTATCTACCTGGTCCTTAACTAGTAAAAAAAAAAAAAAAAAAAAACACACACACACACACACACACACATATACTGAAATATTAATAGGTGAAATGAAGTAATATTTGGATTTATTTAAGTGATACAGAACAGGAAAAATGATGGTGGGGAATAGATGAAATTAGAAAGGCAAATGGTGATATTTGATGGATACATGGGAGCTAATCATATTATTGATTATACGCTTGTGTATATTTGAAAATTTCCACATTAAAATGTAAAAAAAAACAAAAAAAAAAAACCAACACACACACACACAAATTAAAAATGTTAAAAATGTGAAATTCCAAGACCTACGTTTTCTTAGACCATAGTTGTTAATGTTCTTTGGCTTAAACAAAATGATCACTTCTTTCCCCAAAACTAACTTTAAAATAGAATAGTTGTATTGTACTAAATGTTTTTTAAAGTACCATTTAAATTAATCACTTTAAGAATTAGATGTTTTATATGAGAATATAAAAAAAAATTCAATCGAGATATAGACAATTACTTTTGTTAAACATTATCACATAGCGTGAATTCCCATTAACATTAGCTCTACCTATACTCATACATTCTCGGAAGGAAGGTTGGGCAATCTACTTCCGTAGTGATACCGCTTCGGCAACCCAAGGAGGGGTCGCTATGAGTCATGGCCGACTCGACAGCAAATAACAACAACAACATACTCAAAAATAAAATGGAAAAGTATGTTTCAAAGTCATGCTTCTTGGAATGGTCAGGTCTTCAGCAATATTTTTTATTATCACCCTACTCTACTGAAGAAAAGCTAATTGTTTATATTGTATTTATTTATAAAAGTAGAAAAGGTACAACTTCAATAGTGAATGACCAGAAATCCAATATTACCCAAAAGATGTGATACAATCCAGTGATATTTTCTTGTAATGAAAAATTAAGTAAAAAATGTTAACTGACATCATAGTTATATTTCCATCAAAGATACTGCTTTTTTAAAATAAAAAAGTATAATTTTACTTTATCACTTTTCAATAATAAATCATAGCTGAAAATTCTAGAAAATGACGACAATAATTTCTGATATAAGATTTGGGCTTAGTAATTCTTACTTTCTTTTAAATATTAAACTTAAGAAAATCTTAAACTAAAACTAAAATTTAAATATATCATCTGAGTTAGAAAAGCTGCAAACTCAATCTATTATCATAACAATATACAGTTTACTAAGTGATAATGAAATAGTGTGTTCAAGTCTATCTATGCATTTTGAAAGCCACATATAAAATGGAACTAACTCAGAAGGTTAATAAAAGTGATGAATAATTAAAAAAAAAAAAAAAAAAAAAGACACCTAAGGAGGAACTGGCAAAGTACTGTGGTAAAGGACAGGTAAGTACAGAGAGAGAGTTTCAAACATTTCTAAGGAACAAGGATTAGATTTACTCTAAATGTGATATAAGAGATTACGTCTATTCTAAATATACAGATTTTAAAAGAATTAAGACAGCAATGAAAAGGAAACTGATGGAAAAGAGAAGATCTTTGCAAGTGTAGACAGATACATCACATCACTTCAACTCCTAAAAATGAAAGTTTTTGGCAAGATATTATCTAAGGCTCCCTCAGCAACAACATTCTCTCATTTTATTAAACTCCCAAACTCTTTCCTTTTATTAAGTGTTACTCTAAATAAACAATACTTATCAAACCCTGTCTTAAAAGACACACTGGAATATAAACAAAAATGCTGTTTAGTAGTGATGCCTTTTTAAGTTTTTACAATATATTATAGGTCTACAAATCTGAGTAGCTGTGCTTTTAAAAAAGAAAAAAAAAAAAAAAAAAAAGCCACAAACCACTGAAAAGTTTTTATTGTGGCTCTTCCTAAAATTATTCTGTATGGTTATGACTAAATGCTGCCCTCCTGAGGCTACAAGATCTGCGTTCTGAGGCTTGAGCAACTTTTTCAAACTCTTTATTAGAAGGAAGGGACCAATATTCAAAAATGTTACTCAGCATCTTATCAGGAATGATTCACTGGGAAGGGGCATACATAAAATATCTTAAGTAGGTACATCATTAAATAAAATATATGTATATAGAAGAATTTGGCATGTCATCTGATCATTGAATTAACAGATGTTCAACAAGATCGCAAAACAAGTCTTTAGGAAAGTGTAATTTTTTTTTTCAATTTTCTTTCATATGCCAATCTAATTTTATGCCCCTTCCCCTTCAAAAGAACGAAACAAAAATGCCAACAAACCCACTGAAATTGAGTCCATTCCAACTTACAATTACCCTATTTACAGGGAGCTCTGGTAGCGTAGTGTCTAAGGCACTTGACTGCTAACCAGAAGGCTGGCAGTTCAAACC